TTGAATGATTCCATTCTTTTCTTGGACCTGAAATTGAACTTTATTATAGATAATAAGAAAGTTCACGTCATACAGCTTAATATGACGTCATATTGTATAGGCAAGTAGGATATCCCTGGGTGTAGCCTTTACATACCCGCGTCCCCTCCCCCTTGTAAATCAGGGATCGACACACTTCCTTCTTATTCATATACTCTGAGTATTACGCGTTACATATTACCGATAATATATTATCCCCTTTGTCTCTATAAGCTGTTTTAAATATCCTGTTTTCGACTGATAGCAAATATTAAAGGGTGAAGGTGATGAACAGTGATCAATCTAATAAAAAACTTAAACCAATTCAAACATGTAAACAGGGCATAAACACGGATCCAATGGAAACTCCGGAGGTGGGATCAGGTGCCTAATAGGAGTAAGCATCCCATGTTAACCGGTCACACCCGCCGTGAGCCCTATGTATTGATCAAGTACACGGAACATTCCGTCGTCAAATTTACTACAAAACTGTAAGAATTAATATATGAAAGAATTCTTTGATTAAAGTGAAAAAAAAAACATCCACAGGTTAAACTGTTAACGATTAATTTTTGCAATGCTGTTGTCATTCACAGTTTTGGAAAAAAGAGAGAAAGTTTGCAATTTTCCTTCGTCGGCTTCACCACCTCCCCTATACTTCACATAATTGTAAGTTAAAAGTGGACAAAACATGGAATATGCATACACCCCAAAATGTTGTTATACATTATCCTTTCCTTCATTCTTCCATTTCATTTCTGAATACCACCGACTTGTAAGTATTTCAATTAAATCACAAACATCTACAGAAAATTTTGTTGCTCTGCTGCAAAGAAAAGGTTTTTCAAACAAATTTTTGTCAGGAAAGTTTCTAACAGAAAAAAATGAACGTAGTCCATGTAAACGTAGGATTTTTGACTATTCATTCTCTTTAATTTTTAAATGGTTTAGGATTTACTTGTACTTACAAATATTACACAAAGGTCCTTTCGATCCGGCAGAACATTTACTACAGTTACCATAGAAGCGGTTACAGGTTTCACCATTTAAACAGTTTCCACTGCACCTCTCTAAGCAGTCTTTACCATATTCTCCGATATCACAAGCTGAAGTATATGAGAGATATTTAATATTTCAGACACATACCTCTTTTATTGTTTATCCTATTTCCTCTTTGACTGTAGTGGAAAAAGAAAAAAAAAATCCACAGGTTATACTGCTACCGTTAAATTTTTGCAATGTTATCCTCATTCACAATTTTGGAAAATTATTTACCACATTTTACAAGCATATTTACCAAGGTTTATTTATTTATATACATTGAAAAAACCTTATTATTCATATATTCTTAGGGCAGGTATGTTCTTATAAATGTTTCGAATTTTTGGAAAAGTTTTATCGCAAGATTATGTTGGCAAGGTTTAAAAAAAGGAGAGACACCACAGTACTCTTTTTATCTTACCACAGTTATGAGTTAATCTAAAAAATACATTGTTTTTACTTACAGACATTACACATAGGACCTTTCCATCCAGTAGAACAGTAGCTACAGTTTCCATAGAAACGATCACAGGTTTCACCATTCAAACAGTTTCCACTACACCTCTCTAAGCAGTCTTTTCCAAACTCTCCGATATCACAGGCTGAAAGAATACAATCATATAAGTATTGTAAGCTCCCCATGGATGTCCATCCTGGAATGGGGGCTTTGCAATATACTTATACAGTATTTCTTAGGTCAATCCTTCATTCTTAATTCATGTTTCTCAGTTAAGGCAAGACTTTTATCAATTAAAATATCGGTTTATAAATTGGTCTTCCAACAGAAGTTGACAGTGTTGTAAAACTAACATCTATGTTGGATATATAGATATTTAGTATATTTGTTTTGGTCGTTTACGTCAACCGTTACATTTTAAGGATAAAAAGATTGATTTGGAAATAACATAAAAATATGGTTTCAGGTTGCATTAGAGACAAACTTTATTAGTTCGCGATGTATTTGAGGTCAAGAATTTTACTTGTGAATCACTTGTTTTTGAAACCTTTCTCTCCAAGGCTCTTGCAAGCTCACGTTTTCATATTAATTGGTAGATCTGTCTCCGTCTTAGTCTCGAGAAGGATCTACTTCACTCGTTTATTGCTGCGTGCATTGTTTTATTCCCTCCTCCAAAAATAGTAGCAACTGTTCCCTTGCTAAGCGCTAGGCACTTTCAGGTGAAAATTAAGGGTTTTCTGACTTTTTTCATACTAATTGTTAGGCCATTATTTACATTGTGATTTGTCGACGGATTTTTCCGTTATTTTCCGATGATGACAAGGAGCATACAGCGGTTGTGACCGGTCGACAGGGGATGCTCACTTCTTCGTGGCACCTGATCCCACCTCTGATGTCTTAGAGGTCGGAGTTTGCTCTGCTCCTATCTTGTAATATTTAATGGACTTTTGAGCTCGAATACTGTTCGTTATCTCCACATATTTCATTTAAATCAACTGAATTTTATCTCCTTATTTTTCAAGAAAACCGTTGCCGTTTATCCGTCAGTAAACACTCTAAGCATATCACTTCTACAGATTTCCTGAGCTGTGGCTGTTCCATCAATGAAACGTACAATGCGTACATATCAATATTACACTATTTTATCAACTAAATCCTACTTTAATTGATTATTTGTACTTATATAAATATAACCAATACAATGTTTCTTTTTGTTTGTTAGTTAGTACGGGAATTAACATTGCAGCTAATGCAGAAGAAATACATAACCCCCTTACGCGTGTTATGCATTTATACTGCAACAGCTGCAACAAATATTCCCGTACTTCCAACCCAAGAATGCATTCTATTATTTAATTGTCAGCCCACATCAATACTTAAAGTACTCTCTCGACTCAATTTTATAGTACTCATGAGCAAAGACAACCGGATATGATCCCCCTTTCCATTCCCCCCCCCCTTTAAATCACGGATTTATATACTTTTTTTCCATTCGTGCATTTTGAGTAACATGCGTTACATATTACCGATAATGTAAATATCCCATTTTCGAGTGATAGTATACATTAAAAGAAAGAAACTTGCAGATCTTTCCTCGTCGTCTGCCTCACCTCATGCTAGACTTCACGTGACTGTACATGAAAGTCTAAAACATGACAAAACATGGAATATGCATACATCGTGAAAAAAATGTTACACATTTTTCTTTTCCTTCATTCCTCCATGTTATTTCTAATTACCACCCATTTGTAAATACTACAGTTCAATCACTCATATCTAGGTTAAATTTTGTTGGTCTGTTGCACAAGAAAATTTTTTCAAAACAAAAATTTTGTTATGAAATGTTTCTAACAGAAAAAAAATTAACGTGGTCCATGTAGTATTTCTAACTATTCATCCAATTCATATTTTGAATGTTTTAGGATTTACTTATACTTACAAATATTACACAAAGGCCCTTTCCATCCGGGAGAACATTTACTACAGTTTCCATAGAAACGATTACAGGCTTCACCATTCAAACAGTTTCCAGTACACCTCTCTAAGCAGTCTTCACCATATTCTCCGCTCTCACAAGCTGAAGTATATGAGAGATATTTTTGTTATTTCAAACAGATATTCTTTTAATCTTTCTTCTCCAACACTTTCCTCTTTCATTATTGTGAGAAGAGTAAAACATCCTCAAGTTAAACTGTAAACCTTTCAAACCATCTTTAACATGGTTTATTTTTTTAAATTAAGAAATAAAGGAAGAAAACGACTTTTGTCAACTTTTGAAATCTTTATTATTCAAATTTTCTTAGTGCAGGCCTACTCTTGTAAATGTTTGGTAGGGTGAATTCACCATGCATCGGACACCCTCGTACTTCAAGAAGTCCTAGCGACATCGCTACCGACCGAATACTATCAAAATGGACCTTAACATGTAGTATGTGATTAAAATATATTAAACTTGTGACACAGTAACAAGCTATTTATTGAGGAAATGTCATTAAAAACGATTTTTTTAAACGAATTCATCATGGATCGGACAATACTCACTATGCATCGGAGAAAGGGTATTTTGAACCGAAAAAAATGTCATACTTTTATCTCAGTGGTTTTAAATAAGTGACATGAAAATATTTTTTATCTTTTTTTTTAAAAATCAACTTTTTAGTTTAAATTGATCGATGAAATCAATCCACAAATGTGGAAAGATTTTAGTTGCATCCCTTTGCCTTAGAAAGGTTTTATAATGCTAATAATATGGCAACTCGCGCCTTTTATCTCCCGAGTTATCATCTTCTAGTTCGTAGAAATAAATTGAGTCCACTTTAGTCGTCATGTACCAATAAATTGTATTTTCACTTACTATTTAGAGTTTTTATTTTCTATTTCCGCAAAAAAACAGCCGTCAGTTGGGTTCTATACGTGACCAAAGATTTAGTGAATACAGATGCATCGAAAAGTGTCTGATGCATGGTTGATTTTTGTCCAATGAATGAACATACTATTAAAAAACAACTCTAAGACAATTTATACAGACTTTCTGAAAAAATTCTGTAAAATTATCTATCATTGAACATTTCCCGTAATACCGACTTTTTCCCTCGAATCTAATAAAAAGAAGACAACTCTAGCTAATTTCTGTTTACTACTCTTTTATGATGTCAAATATGACGTAACTTCAAGGCCATTCTCGTGGTATTTTTATCACAGCATGATAATAACATTCAGCATCATTAAAAAGTTTAAATCTTCAACTTAAAGGTGGAAACAAGTTAAAACACAGAAACATTTAGGAATGATGCAAGTTTATTGTTTAAAGTTGTCCGAAGCAAGGTATGCGTCCAATGCATGGTTAACTAATCCTATATTTGGAAACGTTTTATCGCAAAGATTATGTTGGCAAAATATTTAACAGAAAGAGTCGTTAACAATTCTCTTTTTGCCTTACGAATCAATTAGTTCTTCAAAAGAGAAAGGCTTTCTTCTTACTTACAGACATTACACATAGGACCTTTCCATCCAGCAGAACAGTAACTACAGTTTCCATAGAAACGATCACATGTTTCACCATTCAAACAGTTTGCACTACACTTCTCTAAGCAGTCCTCTCCATGTTCTCCGTCATCACAGGCTGAAAGAATAAAATCATATATTACTGTAAGATGGCCACCCTGGAATAGGGGCTATGCAATATACAATTATGTACTTATGCAGCATTTCTCTAGGTCACTCTGTAATTCTTCATTTATGTCTCTTAGTAAGGACAAGTTTTGTTTTGGTCGGTGGAATCAACCGTGCATTCAAGGGTAAAAAAATGATTTGGAAATAACATAAAATATTGATTCTGATTGCATTAGAAACGAACTCCAGTGGTGCTTAGTGTATTTAAAGTCAAGAATTTTACTTGTGGATCAATTCCTTTAAAACCTTTCTCCAAGGTTCGTGCAAGCACGTTTTGATTTTAGAGGAAGGTCTGTCTTCGTTTCAGTGTCTTTCATCGTTTCTTTTGTTCGTTCATAGCTGCGTGCATTATTTCATTCATTCGTCCAAGAAAATGTTCGCAACTGTACGTTCATTTGCCAAGCGTTGGGTACTTTGAAGTGAAAGGAACTGGTCTTGCGAAAGAGATATTAAGAGTCATTCTCTGTAAGCATCAAAACGGGCTGGAAATAGACTCTCACCAATTTTGTTTAAACTTGGTGACATAATTACACTATAAGCCCATTTAAAAAAATAATATTGCAAATGATCAATTTGCACTGTTTCCATGGCAACGGGTCACCTATTTTTGCACATATGTGGGAAATAACAACAAATGTTATTTCACCCCATTAATATTTATTTGATGAATTTCAATGACCATTATTAATTTTTATCTTTAAAACTATCTGTGAATCGTATTTTCTTAACAAGAAAACTGCAAAAGAAAATTTTGGAACTGCCAAGAAATGCAAAGTAATGTCAAATAATGCTATTCAAAAGGTGGGGAAAACATAACAGTGTACCCAAAAAACGCAGGCACTGGTGGAATATTTTGATGATCCCAATTTTACCCTAAACAATTATTAAGAACATATCAAAAAATTGGAGTGGTAATATTTGATTTAAGAAAATAAATCAATTGTAAAATTTGTAAAAATCTCTGAAATTACATACTTTTTCACCAAGAGTTGTGTCCCTTTTCGGAAATCTTCAGCCAAATTTCAAGAAAATGAAAGTGAAAGTAGAGAGCAGAACATGATTCAGAGGCGTTAATTCTGTCTGTTTTGGATATTTTCAGTCATTTTAAACCAACTTTGTATAGTATTTCTTATATTACTGGAAGTTAAATGTTTGGTCAGGCCTTACTGTGTCTGAGAAATATATGTGTTTGGTCGTGAAAAGCCTGAAAATGGATTTCACCCAGTGAAATTCCAAGTGTGACACCTACCGATGCACTGCAAGAACAATAGAAGCATTGGAAACAAAATGTTTACAAGAAAGCAACATCAGTTACATGGATTCCAGAGCTACAATTAAGTTGCGTTTGGTGATAAGGCCATGATGTTGATTTGAAAGCTACCTGGCAGTAATAAGATCACTAGGCAAGTATCAAAGTACAAAAACCTGTAAAAATTATTTACCTTTGTCAATATTAACTCTTAACTCATGCATGTTTGTTAATTATAAGTAAATTAATTAATAAAAGTGTATGAATATCTATAAGAAGAAACATCAAAGTATCCAAGAAACATCAATGACATTTGAATTCAATTATTAAAAAAAAAATTAATAATCGTCAAGTTTCAAACTGCATATAATAATAAATATCTGTTGTTGAAAAGTATGTTAACCATACAGCATATATGATAAAATCTACATTGGTTTCAAAGTTATATCAAATGTCAGTGTATGTTTGCATAAGGGGGGGGGGGGGGGGGGAGGGTGTTAACAAGTTACTGTCTTTGCATTCATTCAATCATTGATTGTTTTTACATTTTGATCCAGGTAGAATGTAAAGTTAAACACATGTAAAACCATCACATTGCTAAACAAAACACAACATTGCAGGTTTTGTACATTTCAGTGTGTTCAGGGCTTATTTTTGTTTGGTTAATTGTTGTTGTTGTTGTTGTTTTGTTTTTTTTTGTTTTTTTTTTTTTTTGGGGGGGGGGGGGTTAGTGTCATGTGCTATTTCATTTAAGAACTAATAATGTAAAATTGGAAAAACTTTGAAATTTGAAATTTGTTTTATAATCTCTAATTACATTATATAATTGCAAATGGAGTTTAATTAATGAGATATCCTTATAAAATTTGATATAAAGAATCAAAATATATTTTTTTGTATCTCGGTAATGCAAAGGCTGAAATGTTTATTTTAACATCAAATAATCTGGTGCATAGAGTGTAGTGAAGATTTGCTTTTGTTTAAAATATAGAGAAGAAAGGGGGATGATTGAAGCTATATTTTTATACAATTAAATTGATGCATGCAGATTTTTGTCAATGTATGCTGCGACTGTTGCCCATGACTTTGTTTTGGGAGAACAGAAGGGATCTCACTGCATATTATTTTTATATGATGTTGAGGCCGTGGGGCTGGGGGACTTAATCATATCTCATTTAATCATATTTGCATTTAATAGCCCTTGTTTTTTTTTTCTTCTTCTTCTTCTTTTTTTTTTAAAAGTGTTTATGTATGTAAATGCTAATTGATCTATATGGTTTTTTTTTTTAATTTTAGGAAACAGTGCACAAAATTGCTGGAATACTATTTGGAACTGAGAAATTTATGCTTAATATGGTGATTTTATAGAGAAATAATCAAAACCGAGAAAAAATTTGCAATGACATTATGTGATATTGCACAAGTGAAATCATCTTAAAATGCTGAATCAGCACAGATGAATAGAGAGATGTTTTTTATATTGAAGATTCACAAAATAAGTTTTTTCATGAAATTATGCAACCATTTTTGACAATAAGCATAATAGGGATGCTACTAATGCCTTAAATTAGAAGTGAAGGATGTTTTAGTAGTATTATTTAGTAAATACATGTTGGTATTAAGTGTTCAACTAAACAAAATCTTTACTCAGTGAAATTTCATGATTTGTCAACTACAGCAAAATATGAATTTATAAGTTTGTTAGATTTATCAAGTATGTTAATACAGGTTTTTTGTTGTTGATCTTATTGAGTATGACAATTAAGTTAAAAAATGTTTGGGTAGACAGAGTACCCTCTAGTTCATGAGAGTAATTTGTCATTAAAGTCAGCATTTCATATTGTTCAGTTTCTTGTTTCTTGGCATGCTAGCAAGAATATGTAGTTTTCTTTAACATAAATTTAATAATTTTAACTAAGGCCAAAAAAATAATAATTACTCTTGTTTTCTGCTACCTGTCTGACCCTTTTTTTGCGCCCGACCCTAAAGTTTTAGTTTTGGAAGAAAAAAATGGGGAATTTCCGGAATTTCATCGTTCTATCAAAGTAATCGGTTTCCATGTTAACACAAAACAAGCATTTCATAAAATTATATCTTTCAAAATGGACTTTCATAAAATACCACTTGAGTTGTGCATCAAAAGACATGAAATTTAATTTTGAAATACAATATTGACCTGTGTTTAATTTGATCTTATATTAGTTCATATCCCCCCTCCCCCCTAAAAAAAACCATTGGAAAAAATAAAATAATTTTCCTATCTACCTACCCTATTTTTTTCAAGCTGGTAGCAGGAAACAAGACTATCATTTTTTTGTTGTTGCCTAAAATCAAAATACATGTTCAATATGTCTCTAACAAGACTACTAGTTTATTATTATAATAAAAAAAGAAGAAAATTAGCTCTTTGGCTCAACATTTTGCTTCTTATAAATAAAATGATTTTTGATTTTTTAGTTTTATTGAAGTCTGACTAAACCTACAGGGAGGGTAGTCTCTGGCCAGTAGAAAAATAGATCAGGTTAGGTCAAATCATGAGTAATGATTTCAGAGTCGAACATTAGCATGGTTGAAGATCAGTCTTCAAGTTGCATAGTGCAAAACCACTCCTGTTGCAGTAGTTTTGATATACATGTATTTGTATTTTATTAATTTAAGTGTTTGTCTGTGTATGTGAGGGTAAGTGCATGATTAGAAGTTGATCAAGCACTGAGTCTCTAGTTTTGTATTTTGATAATATCAATATAATAGGGACTGTTCCTGAACTATGATAAATTAAATGTGGTTGCCAAAGCAACTGTTTTTTTTAAATGAATTTCTATTTAAATGCAAGTGAAATGAAAAGGTTCATTAGCATGGTTTGTTTTATTGAAGAGGAAACGTAACATTCAATGATGTGTACATTGATAATATCAATAATAATAGGGATTGTTCCTGAACTATTTGGTTGCCATAGCAACTGGTTTTTTTTTTTTAAATTATGAATTTCTTAAAGTGAAATGATAAAGTTGATTAATTTGATTCATTTATTGATTCAGAAGAAGAAATATAATGCAATGTGGCAATGGTTATTTTATATTGTTAATATTAATGATTATTTGAATAGTTCCTGAACTATTTGGTTGCCATAGCAACGTGGTTTTTTTTTATTTTATATTTCTATTTTGTTTAAATGTTAAATGAATTGAAAAGGTAAATTAGTGAGATATTTCTTTCATTAATGATTTAATTAAAGTAGATATGTTCAAAAAATCAGTCAAATGTGGAATCTACAAATTAATCCAAATTCTCCATAGCAACCATTGTTTTCATTTTATTTTATTTTAAGAAATATTACCACTCTAGAAATTTTATATTTTGTTGAGTATGGAGTGAACTTTTACATGATGGTGGTCATTTGCTATGGAGTGCCTGCATTTTTTTGCTATTATTTGTAGAAATTGCCCAAAATTTGCATTTTTTAAAATTTGTTAAATTTGTAAAAATTGACACTTTTCATTGAAAGATCATTCATTCATGACCAACTACTGAATTGATACACTAATTGAGGTAGTTACTTCTATAAATAATACATAAGAATAGGTATCTGTTAATCCTGTATGAAATGTGTAGAAAGTAAAAAAATTAAGATGAAGTTGGTATAATTTTAGTAGAATATTGCTCATTTATGAGCTAAAAATGGCGGTTTCGGTAACCATGGC